AAGATCCCTTATTAGTCTATTCTAGAAGACCTTTTCTCTTGGAGTTTTTTAGTCAGCAGGATGAAACAGCTTTACAAATATTCTACTTGACAAAGTTCAAGAGAAGTTTGAACTCATTCCATTAATGATCATCCTATATTAATTACCACAGGAATCTCGTTTTTTCAATTTCCACCGAAGCAGTCAGTGATTGATACTTTTATCACTCTGATCATTTGAGAATAACTAAATCTTGATTCCTATTGAGTCATGTCACTTTTATTGATCTACCTTAAAAATAGACAATTCGTGATGTGTAAATCTTTTCAAAATAATTATCAATGAAGATAGAAAATGCATTTACAATTTCCTCAATTGTTTAGGAGTAAACTAGATCACTAAATGAACTTTTAGGATAAATACCATGGAATAGAATTACTATAGTATGCGTGATAAACGGTTCTGTTTACATCCACTATTTTTGAAAAGTTTATTTTCTTAAAATTGACTTTTGATGGTTATTGAAGACCAAAGCTAAAAAAACAAAATATAGTAACGGAACACCATAATCGAGTTTTGGAATTGAAAATCTTATGAACGTTGTATGTCAGATAATTAAGCAATAAACAACAAGTCGCAGATAGAAAAATTGAGAATAGATTGATTACTAACTTGTATTTTAGATTCAGTGAATAAGGGTTCTCTCCAGGGTGTGCGCGATAGACTTACCTCCACGTGGTGCATCCTGGACAACGTATCTTCGTACGGGAAAAAATTCTATCACTCGGCATTTGATTTGACTTCTATTTATTATGACTTCAAAAAGGCTATAAGAAAAATCGCCCTCGTCAGGGCGAGATGGCATTTGATTTGACTTCTATTTATTATGATTAGCTTGAAACAAGTCTATAAGAGAAATCGCCCTAGTCAGGGCGAATCAAAACGTCTTCAGATCCTCCAGTGGAATGCTGGAGGGATGTCACAGAACAAAAAGATCCAAGTCCAGGTAATCCTAAAAACCTATGATATGGACATTTTCACAATTATGGAAGCAAACCTTTCGGATGACAAACTGAAATACTACCAATTCCCATTTTACATCCCGCACCTTCTACCTAAATACCCATTCCCAGGTTACACCCTGTACCTTCTACCTAGCCACCAATTCCCAGGTTACACCCTGTACAATCTACCTAAATAACGGCGAGTTGCAAGTGGAATTCTAACTGGAGTAAAAGAAGGAATTTGCAAGTGGAATTCTGACTGGAGTAAAAGAAGGCCTTAGGTTACACCCTGTGCCTTCTACCTAAATACCGGCAAGTTCAAGTGGAATTCTGACTGGAGTAAAAGAACACTCCTCACATTCCGATCTAATCAAGAGTATGGGCTCGACGCAAGCCACTAAGATCTAATCAAGAGTATGGGCTCGGCACAAGACATAAGTGTGCCTAATCAAGAGTATCGGCTCGACACAAGACAAATGTGAAAATCCTAACTGGAGTAAAAGATGGCCTAACCTCACACTACGACCTCTTAGAAGTCTACCTAAATACCGGCAAGTTGCAAACACCCTGATGCCAAACTGAAGTACTACCAATTCCCAGGTTACACCCTGTACAATAGAGAAGTATTACCAATTCCCAGGTTACACTCTGTACCTTCTAACGGCGAGTTGCAAGTGGAATTCTAACTGGAGTAAAAGAAGGAATTTGCAAGTGGAATTCTGACTGGAGTAAAAGAAGGCCTTAGGTTACACCCTGTGCCTTCTACCTAAATACCGGCAAGTTGTTAACCCCTGTACAATCTACCTAAATACCGGCAAGTTGCAAGTGGTATTCTAACTGGAGTAAAAGATGGCCTAACCTCACACTACGTCTAATCAAGAGTATGGGCTCGACACAAGACAAATGGAAAATAATAAGATTAAATGTTTGGAAATGTCAAAACTACTTTAATACATATGTGAAATAATCAGATTAAATGTTTGGAAATGGATATGTGAAATAATCAGATTAAATGTTTGGAAATATCAAAACCGCTTCAAGATATATGCAGTCTATAATCCTCCCTAATTGTCCCAACTTTGACTTTCTGAACATCTCACACAAAACATAGTACTAGGAGACTTCAACACCCACTCCACCAGATAGGGCTACAAGGATACAAACATAGCTGGAAAGGAAATTGAAAACATGCTAAACAGCAACACTCTGGAACTTATTTATAGCAAAAGGATCCGGCGAACAGGGATCCCGCTACATATTTGCACTACAATGGAACCAGAACAGCGAAACAGTATTAGGAGACTCCAACGCCCACTCCACCAGATGAGGCTACAAGGAAACAAACATAGCTGGAAAGGAAAACGAAGACATGCTAAACTGCAACCCTCTGGAACTTATTTACAGCAATGAGAATCCGGCTACAGAATTGCACAGCAATGGAACCAGAGCAACTCCTGATTTACTCTTGGCTTCAAGCGATATCAGCGAGCATACACGCCACAAAATAATTGGGCAAAATAATTGACGATCCTGGTTCTGGTCACAAACCAGTCCGTGAAATAATTGACGATCCTGGTTCTGGTCACAAACCAGTCACCGCACAATAATTGACGATCCTGGTTCTGGTCACAAACCAGTCATTCTACCATCGGCAGCAAAAGCATGACAAGGAAAGTGCCAACACAAGGAAAGTGCCAACTAAGCTATCATGGAACTTCCAAAAGACAATGAAAGTGCCAACTAAGCTATCATGGAACTTCAAGAAACAACGAATGTGCCAACTAGGCTATCATGGAACTTCAAGAAGGCTGACGGCGTAGATTCACAAACCTTTTAGAGGATGAATTTCATTCGCCTAGATTCACAAACCTTTTAGAGGATGAACTTCAGTCAAGTCCCCTCAACTTCAACCAATATCCTGACAAACTTTTTCCCCTCAACTTCAACCAACATCCTGACAAACTTTGCAGCGACAAGATTCACTAACCTTTTAGACAATGAACTTCACACAAGTCTCTAAACTTCAACCAAAATCCTGACAAACTTTGCAATGATATCAGACTTCAACCAACATCCTGATAAACTTTGCACTGATATCACATATGATCAGATGTACTAAGAAAACTATTTCCCGAGGCAAGACAAAACACTATCGAGATAGTCTAAACACCTTGAGGAACTGAAAAGAAAGCGGGACGTTCTAGACACCTTGAGGAACTGAAAAGAAATCGGGACGCCCTGTGAACACCTTGAGAAACTGAAAAGAAAGCGGGACGCCCTTGAACAACTTGAGGAACTGAAAAGAAAGCGGGACGCCCTTCACATTAGACACCTTGAGGAACTGTAAGAGGGACGCCCTTCGCAACACTGCTGATCAGACTGGGAGGGACGCTCTTTGCAACACTGCTGATCAGACTGGAAGCGCGACGCCCTTCGCAACACTGCTGATCAGACTGGAAGAACAAACGCCCTTCGCAACACTGCTGATCTGACTGGAAGAACGGACTTCCTTCGACAACCTCATCTCAAATATCAACAACCAAAGTGTTAGCCAACGCACTTTCAAATTCCTGGGTAACCACCAAAACAACAGGCAAAGACCCAAGAAAGAACTAATACGCTTAAACAATGAACTGCTTACCACCGACTCCGAAATAGTTAACCACTTTGTGAGGTTCTATTCCCAAAAGCAAAAGAAAAAACCTTTTGTCAGAAAATCTTCAAGAGATTTAAAGATACAAGTAAGTCAGTTTGGTGAAATTAAGGAAGACATAACAACACCGAATAATGTACTCACTGAACCATTCAGACCTTGCAAACTTAATGCTGCGATAAAACAGCTCAAGTGCAAGAAGTCTCTTGACGAAGACGGTATTCATCCAGAATTTCTAATTTGAATGGGGCCAAAAGCCAAGGAAACCATGCTGACGCTTTACAACAAAATCTGGGAGACCAGTCTCGTACCTAACCAATGGAAAGTTGCCTTAGTAATACCAGTACTAAAAAAGGGCAGAGACCCTAGCAACTTTGACAACTATAGGCCTATCTCCCTCACAAGCATGCTGGCTAAACTTATAGAAAGAATGGTTAACAGGAGGCTCACCTGGTTCCTTGAGACCAACAATATTCTTAGGAGTGAACAAGCAGGTTGTAGGTCGAACCAACAAATCGAAAATGCCCTAAATGTTTAATTAAAATACTAGCAAACTGGTGCGTCAACAATGGAATAGTAATCAACACCGCGAAAATTGCATTTCGAACTTTTTCTTTTGCCCGTCACAGCATAAACCTGCTTCTACAGTACAAGGATACAATTCTAGAAAAAAACCAATGAGTTAACTTATCTCGCAATGACGTTCTACACAGAGCTAACGTGGAAAATCAAATTGCTAAAATAACGAAACGAGTCTCCAATAGACTGAATGTACAGAAGCGTCTTGCTGGTAGTGTATGGGGCTGCGTACGCTCAACTCTTAACACCACTTACAAGATGTTTATTCAGCCAATAATGTTGTATTGCTGTGAACCACTCATTACAGCCACAGAGGTGACTCTCAAACCATTCGAGAAGGCACACAACCAAGCATTATGACTAATTACTGGAGAAATAAAATCAACACCTATTGATGCGATGCTCCTAGTTACAGGAAGCACTACAATATGTTCCCTTATCAAAGAGTGGGCCTTGATCCTATATGTGAAGCTATTGAGCATTCCCATGGACAAGTTCTTCAGCACCTATGAGAATAGACCAAGACATCTGAAAACGTAATCTGGTCTAGTAGAGAAAGCCATAGAACTGAAGAAGGAATTACAAATTGATGACAAACCAAAAAGCCTCTCTCTCCCCATGAACCCATTAGCAGACACTGAAATAGGGTGTTGCACCCAACTGCTCGACTTCTTCAGGAAATCAAACACCCCTCCAGAGCAAATGCGCTCACTGGCCCTTGAGACAGTCAATATCAACTATCTAATAGATCAATGACTCCAAGTCTTCACTGATGGGTCATACATATCATCAATGACTCCAAGTCTTCACTGATGGGTCATACATAGAAAACTAAGCGAACGTTGGTGCAGGTGTCTGTTCTGAACTCTTCTCTTTCTCAGCAGCAGCGGGACGCAATAGAACCGCCTTTGAAGGAGAAATAGAGGCCATTAGGATAACACTATGCCAATTATGTTGCCTGGATACGAAATTCACCAAAGCGGTGAAACTTTCGGACTCACAGTCAGCAATAAACTCAATTGGCATTAAAGGTGATGGGCTTGCTGACACACTTGCTAAGATGGGGACAACGATTTTGCAATGCATGGACCGGTCGATGTCTTTCCACGCAATGAAGGCCTTAATCAGAAGAAAATTCCATACCTCAAGGCGCAACGAAATTAAAGCTCGAACAAAGGAGAAACAGTGGACAGTGGCACTCTCCGACAAAGCCGCCTGGACAGGAATCGAAGCCGTTGCTGAGTTTAGATCACGTTCCGGACACGATTGCCTGAGAAAACACCTTCACAGATTTGGAGTATGCACTCAACCCATAGGCCCCATATGTAACCTACAGGAGGGAATGGAGAAGACCCACATGATTCGGTGTCCAGCCCTTAAGACAACGAAGGGAACCCAGAGATACTGGAAAGCAAGAAGACAGCTTATTAACTGCTATTAAGTTACTGCTATAAATGTACCCCCACCCCAAAGTTGGGGGTTGGAATGGAAGTCAAAGTTTAAGGGCTTATGATAAATACCATAAAGCCTACCATATGAAATAATAATAATAAAGATGATTTTCGGTTCGACAGGGTCCTGGTAGGAGCAATCATAACGCGCGATTTCCATTGTGGCGATTTGATCGATTTCTGAGAGGGAGGTGTTGTGCTTACCTTGCAACAGCGTTTTGGCCCTTTTGAAATTTTCCCTTGCATCGGGATCCTTGCATGGCAAGAGGGAATTGGTTGCACTCAAATTAAAAATGGCGAGTAAGTGTGAAGTCTTAATTGCAGAGTAGTAGTTGATTATAAGGTAGAGGAAAGAGATTAGTAAGACTAGACCTAGTATTAGTTTGGTCGTGGAGGGAGTTTCACAAGCCATGTACTCACAAAATACACGCTAATGCTGCATGGCCCTTCTCGAGTAAGTATACCCCTATGCACCTGTTTCATGTCTTTATTTTTATTGGAGGATTTGGAGACTATTAATGCGGGTACCTGCCATTAAAATCTCATATCTACGCAGAGTTCTTAAGCCGACTCCCCACACGTGCACATTACACACCTTTGTCATTCGCTTGCTCGATGGGTAAGAAAAGCAAAGCAGTTTGCATTGGGTGAGCACTAACCCTTTCTTTGTTGATCAAATCGTTCATTATCAAATTTCTTAATGGAAATGCATGAAATTACAACATTACTTATATTTGGTGATGGAAATACCTCATATTTCCTTCTCGTCGCCCTCTTGTAATTTCGAATGAAACTATTTTATCTCTACTAGATACTCACAAATACCTGTGCATGAAAATTTACATTTATTTCCGAAACAATAATAAATAAAATATATTTTTTATAGACCGATTGGACACGTATCTCGACAAAAATATAAAAAACTTCGTTCCTACTACAATCTAAGAAAGCGTTATTATCGAATTCATTGACAATTATTTAAGCAACTTAAAATCGCTTCATGTGCTCTTATTCAATACTTCCCTCTCATTGTTCCTCTGCCAAATTTGTGTATGCCAATGTTAAATAATCATGGACTTAAACACAGTAAGCGAGTCTTGAGTTGTGAGAGAGTAAATAAGTAGAGTGATCAGACACACCCTCTGAGCATTCTAAAAGGCGATAAGGAATGAATTGACTTAGATAGTAGTTGCCTGCGTTCGTAGTACAAAGCATTTAAAGTTTAAAACAAATTTGACGTGTCGAATGCGATGAGGTTATTTCAGCCATGACGAATCGACAGTTTGAAAGGGCAGTGATGCAGAATTGGAATGAATTTAAATGAGGCAGGGTGCATTTGCAATAGGTCAATTGAATCTAAACCTACTATGCAAGTTGTAATGAGCGTTGGTAGGGTGGATGGTGAAATAAATAGAGTCGATCGAAAGAGATTTTGACCAAGATTTTGACTGATAAGCAAGTCTTGTTTCTTTTCATCTGATATGTTTGGGCGTGCCAAAGTAAGTCAGTTAGATTTATAACTTTCAGTTAAATAAATAATGGCATATTTATAAAAGTATCTAACGTAATAAAAAGTGATTAAAAATCGTTTATGGTTATGAGGCATTGAAAAATATGTGTCAAGATCCAATCAATAAACAGTCCCAAAGCTTATATGGCAATCAAGTAATAACAATATTTCCTTGTCTATTGGGTTAATTTGAAAAATCTATTGATTGAAATTTAATGAAGGAAAGGATTTTGTCAATCAGGGTTATTCAAATCATGAGTAACGAACTTTGGCAGGTTATAAGTTTCTTCACCCTGACTTAAGAAACTGTACTTTACTGACCACTGTAAAATTAGAGTAATATCTCATTGTCTGTAAAGGCATTTAAAACAACTCTCTTTGCAAAGTTACAAATTTGGGAAAGTACTCTATTAATTTTATAGCCATCAAAGCTTAACTTAACTTCAGTCTCTAAAATTTGTTATAAAACTGCAAAGGCCATTAAGGATTAAATTACAGCCAATTTACACAAGTCTCATTAATGCAACTAATAATTTTCAAGTTGTTGAGTAAATTGATCACATTAAAATGGATATTTACTGATGAATGGAAACGAATCATGCAAACTTCCTTAAAGTAATTCAAGTTCAATGGTCAAATTGCACTAATTAACATTACAATTCGGGAGTAAATAACTTGTTATTAAAAAATGTTAATATTACAAGGTTTTAATAAATATATATGTGTAAATAAGAAGTTGATTATATCATATGTGTTTTACTCTAATAAAACAATAAAGTTGAACAAGAAGCTAACTGAAATGGATACTAAATTCGTCCATGTATTTTAATATATGGAAATGTGTTTTAATTATCTAAGTAATATTTGCGATTTTGAACATTGGCCTTGTAGTAGTCTCTGATTGCCGAAATGTCAGGTGTAGGAAGTGGTGAAATATATGGTCTCGTTATCTGCAATAAATGGCCTCCAGAGTCTGTTGCGCTAGATAAATATGATGTCAGTGCATTCATTACCAATAATAATGCTGATGTAACCTGCAAGTTTCTCTACGAAAACACAACTTCAGAATTAATCGAAGCGGAATTTATCTTCCCTCTTGAGTCAACTGCTGCTGTTTATCATCTTGAAGCTGTTATTGGGAAAAAACGCTTAATGGCAAAGTGCAGAGAGCGTGTTGAGGTAATGCCTTATTGTAGTGTATGATGATGTTTTAGGCGGAAGCAACATACAACGAAGCTGTGGAAAAAGGTCATACGGCATTTATGATGCAGGAGGATTTTCACATGGGTGACACCTTCAAAATGAAATTGGGAAACATACCAGCAGGAGATAAAATCGAAATTACGTTCAAGTACGTCGTGCCATTGTATCTTCGTGAGGTGGACACGTCGTTAGAACGCTTCAAATCTCTAAAGGAACCAGTGGTTTGTGTGTTCTCGATGCCGGGAAAGATTGGTGCAAGATATGGTAAGTTGGAAATGATGTTTGTGGAGTGATTTTTGCTTTAGGAGCAAATGTGCCAGCCTCGAAGTTAGCCGCAAAAATGAATTTCGTGGCTGAGATATATGGTGCTGGCGGAATACTTTCAGTGACTTCTCCTCATCACACATTTCAGGTGAACTACCTGAACGAAGAGATGAGTCGAGCTAAAGTGTCCTTGTCAGATGGTGTGGTTGTTGAGAATGATTTCGAGATGGAAATCGCAATGGACAAGCCTCACATTCTTGCATCACCATGCGAAATAGGAAGTGTCGAGAAAGGTGGTTTCTTAGGAATGCACTGCATTGCTACCTCCTTTTTGCCTAACATTGCGCAATCTCGAGCAAGTGACGGAGACAAGTGTGAAATAATTTTTTTGCTTGATCGATCTGGTGAGTCATCCCTTTGAATTAATTTTCAAACTTAATTCAAATGGGATATTAGTTGTTGATGAAAGAAGAAGAAATAGGTAAATGAGAATTGTGAGTGAAAGTTTGAGCGTTTCGTAGCGTTGCGTTAAAATTGGCCATACAGTCATGGTATGAATGGAAAAGTATTGAGAGACAAGGGTTTGGCATGGCCCTTGTAGTGTCTGAGTGAATAATTTACGACTTGTGTGAACTCCTTCATTAAAGTGAGCTTATTTTGCTAATCGATTTTGCTTAATTATTTGTGTTATTAAGTATAGCTTATATTAATGTTTAAACTTCAGTTTTATTTTAAATCAAGTTAGCATAGAATTAAATAGTAAGTGTCAAATTAAGAAGAAATTGTCCTTGAAGATAGAAAATTCTTAAGCTCAAGTTAGATGTGAAGATTGGAGTAATTTCCTTTAATTCTCCTATGAAATGGAGATAAATAATTTTTAAGTGGAAATGGTTTTCTTTCATCCGATTTGTTTCAAATTGCTTTGTAGGCAGCATGAGTGGATCTAGGATTCAGAAGAGCAAAGAAGCTCTACTGCTATTCTTAAAATCATTACCGAAGAAATGTCGCTTCCAAATAGTGAGCTTTGGGTCTGGTTTCAGTTCTCTCTTCTCACAGTAAGTTTCGAACATATGCGGCCTCGTTTATCAGCAATTTTAATTTACTAGACCTGTTGATTATACGGAAGAAAATGTGAAACAAGCCCTAGATCATCAGTCGCAATTGGAGGCTAACATGGGTGGAACAGAGCTCTATCCAGCCCTGAAAAGTATCTATGATACTCCAATCACCGGGGTGGGGTGGTATCGACAAATTATTGTTCTCACTGATGGTGAAATATTCAACCAAGACGATGTAATCGTTGGATTTCTTTATTTTGAGTGGTATTTAGTTTGTCAGAAAGTGTATTATGAGCAGAGTGTACTTGTGTTATAGGTGATCGGTTTGGTGAGGAAGAACCAAGTGAACGCTCGTGTCTTTGCAATTGGTCTGGGAAACGAAGTGAGTACCTCTCTGATTTGGGGCATTGCTAGAGCCGGAAGAGGAACTGCAAGCTTCATTAGAGATAGGTAAGTCCAAGTGCGCGCATAATCTCATAACCTACTGCTTTTTGGTTGATCTCTTTTTTACTATCAGAAGAAGCACCTATGTATAGTTAAGAAATATCGAAGCACTCGCCTTAATAATACATTAGACTAGATTGGATTGGATAAGAACATTGGGACTATCTTATTGAAAGGACTTCAATGTAAAGAGGCAATTTAGATGTTAAAGGCTAATATATGGAGTGTGAATTGCGGAAAGTCAGTTCCATTCGTCATCTTGTTCTTGATCTAATTAATGCAGTTTCTTGTAACATTATTTTCAATTTTCCTTTCCATTTTCCAAGTGACAACCTACGAACTGGAGCTTTGTCAGTGCTGAAAGCCACTCTTCAACCAATGCTCAAGGATGTTTCGCTGAAGTGGGATGTGAAGGTTGATGGAAAGGCGGTGGAAATTCTCACTGTCCCTTCACAGTTGCCTCCACTTTTCTCCGGTCACTTCTTGACTGCATTTGGTTTGACTGCTGCAAGTGGTAAGTTGGGTGATTTTGAGATGAAGTTGTTTTAGGGACTCTAAAATCGTGAATACCAGAACTGCACTATAAAGTAGAGTCTCAGCATGCAGATGAGGGATGAGTTAGAGAAGTGCAGAACATTTAATTGTGAATTGGGTGAAGCAATTGAATTAAATTGGTTACCACAGAGTTGAAAGAAGTGCTGAATGGAAGAGGATTGAAAGAGATGGCGGTAGGATGTGGGATGAGGTGCCGAAGGTGTTGATTTGTGTTGTATTTTCTAGTAAGAGGCAATTCTGGTAGTCCCAAGGTGGATGGCACTCTCACTCTGAGTTACAAATTGAATGAGGAAGTTCATACGCAAACCTCGAAGGTGGAGAGTTTGGGAGTGGAGTATGAAAACTTGGGTCTGCATCGACTTGCAGCAAAGGCGCAAC